GTGGGTGCGGGTGCACCTGATATCTGCTTCCACATAGGGCTACTTTTTGGTGGTACCGTCACTTTGTTTTGCGCAGAGCTTATGACTCCTTTCGGCCTTTGTTTGGGAGCGCCGGACTCCCGTACTGGAGTTGAAGTTTTAAGGTTTGGTGTTGTTGATTTGTCCATATTTTGTCTCACGAGACGCGGAGAAAGGGAACGTCCGCCCGGGCAGAGATCCGCTGTACCCGGGTAAGGCTAGTTGGCTCCGAAGGTCGCCCGGTATCCGGAGCCAGGCTGATCCTCGGCACGGGTCGTATGACACCTTCATCCGGCCCTGCAAAGAGAAGGGAGTGGAGAACTGGCAAGGAGTTTGGTCAGAAAGGGAATAATAGGCGCAGCGATTAAGGAGGGGTCCCCGCTCGAATTAGCCGCCAGGGCGTTACCTGGCGTCACCACGGGGAGGCCCCTTATACTAGGGGGGTGCTAATCGCAATGCGATTGAACACCTACGAGTCGACGCTTTGGGATGTCGCGTGTGTTCAAGTGGATCACCCCCATCAAAGACACCTCAAAACGGTGCAACAACTACTCACTTGCAAGTTTTTACTAGTTTTGTGTTCAATAACTTTTTCTGATAGTTTTCTCTTTTTCTTAATTTCACGTTCTATTTTGCTCAATTTCTTTATTAAAAAAGCATTAATAAATTATTGCATTTTTGAGATTGCAATTAAAATGTTTGATTGAATCAGTGATTTGATTGCAATCACAATCATTGCAATCAAATGTGCTTACAATTAAATTGATTATAGTTTTTACAATCAGAAAAATGCAATAAATTTTGATTGTAATCCTATTAGTAGCACAATCATTGATTGCTAAAAAATTGATTGCAAATTTTTACAGCTCTGCTTTTGGAAGGCTCTATCCCACATTTATTGCTAAATGTTACGTTAAGTTAGAATGTGGTGGAAATACCTTCATCCTGGTACCGCATGGAGACATACTCAGGCCTTAGGAGAACCGTTGTGATACATTTTAATTGGCAAAGTGATACTTATGCATAGAACCAGTTAGTTAGTCTAAAGAAGCGTTGCAGTTCGCAGTATTTCTTCGAGCTTAGCTCCGACAGACAGTTGATAAAGTAGGTACTGCTGGAAACACCACAGCTTAAGTCCATCCAGACTTCCGCTGGCGTGTTGCCATGAGGCAGTGGTTTGCAGTAGTTCTTATTACCACACCGAGCTTTCGAGCTTGATATGTCGTGCTACCCCACACGTTAGTTCAGCATACCATCTTTTATTGGCCAACTCAAAGAAATTTGTCCTAATCCAGCGATTGCACGATGCCACCGATACACTCGCTTCGTGAGAGTAGTTTACAGTCGATAAGCTGCAACCTGTCCTTGCAAGTTCGTCCGGTTCTCAGTTACACAAATGGTCTTAGAATATAGCTAAATTCTATTGCTAGTTTTTACGAGATATGAGTTGACCAGCCACCGGGCCGAAGATACCAGTATAAATTTTCACTGAATAATAGCTGGCTTGTTTGAATACAAGGATGGCTGAACTGAGCAAAATTTAGGGTACCATTAAACGTAGCTTTTATTTTTTGAGTGAAAAATGGACTCCAACATTTATTGATAAAAAGTATTTTATTTAATTAATTTTTTTTAATTAATTTCATAAAACTGTACAGTGCCTGCGAAAATTGTCTAAAAAAATTTAACACGGAAGGCCTATCGCTTAAGAACACCAAAAGCAAGAGTTTGAAGAAGGCGATTTTGTAGCTTATTTTGTCACCTTGGTACATGTACATATGTATGCTTTTGTTAAAAATATTTTCTTACTTCTTTCTTTTTCGAATTTAATCAAGTGTTGCTGAATTTCTAAAAATTATGTCAAAGAACCCAATCGCCCACATGTCAAGTGTTTGCAAACTTTAATCCAATAAAAATGATAGAATAGGGCAATCATAAAGCACTTGAGTAAATTTAAACTACATACAGATGCACATTTATTTATTTATGTACATATGAAGTACTTATATGTGCTTAAGTGCCACATAAGCATACTTGTACATGTATCAGTGGCTTACAAACACAAACATTTCGTTGTCATAATGAGGAAATATTAAAAAAAATCATTAAAAAATATACAAATCGCCCATTTGCTGGAAGAAGAACATAACTAAGAAAAAATAGAACTATGAGAAAAACTACTTTGAAGTCCCTAAGCTTTTGGAACATTTTTTTCGGGTCGGGTTTTAGATTGGTGCGTTGGCACAAAAATTTAAACGAAATGAACTGAATCTCAAAATATATTCATATCGCTTATTTACTTCAATAGTGTCATAACTCAAAAAACGAAAACTAGTGAAAAACCGGATTTAAAGTTTTGAATTTACATATACAGCCATAGTAAAAATGAATACATATTTTGTTCTACTGAGACACTAGTAATCGATACAGCTATGAAATTTTACACAACATCGAAGAAGAGGGAACGGTAATTTCTGCATAATTAGCTCAATATTTTCATTTTTTCGGATTATGACATTTTTGAAGTAAATAAGCCGTATTTATGTACATTAGACCGTACCACCTTACAAGCAAACAAACAAAAGTTCGGCGTAAAAACTGCTGAGTCTTAAAAGTATTTATGTAAGGCGATTTCGAAAAGAAATAATAATTTTTTTGGCTGTACGTATGGGTCGCCGTTTTACATTTTTCGGTGACACCTACATTCGGCAACAAAAAATAAAATAAAATAAATTAAATAGTAGGTATACTTAAATAATCAAAATATGTACATTCTTAGCCAAAGTTTAATGAGTTTTTGCGAGCTTTAATTTACTAACATTACGGTGATAAGAGACTTTTAAACAGAAAACATTGTTTACTCGAGGCAAAAACTATTGTATATCTATATATATACAAATGTATATAAAATAATAACCGTTTTCGTTGTTCGGACTTAACTCAAACTACTGAATAGATTTCAGTCAAATTTTCAGAGATTATACATACGTTGCATATATGGTCCTATTATACTACTAGAAAACTCGCTAGGTGGCGCTAGGGTCGAGGTATTTATAAAAGTCGTATATATGAACCCATTTCGTTCAAATTCATAAATTGTGCTAACTCCATGATGAAAAACACGTATGCGAAAAATAGAACCGCAATGGATGGCTCCATTTGAACGATATTCAAGAGATCACACGACTCATTTAACCGATCATCTGTGCTCTTGAGTTTCCTTATAAGGCCTTTTATTCTCTTACATGGTACATCGGACCAATGCTGAAGTTGCAAGATCATAGCAGAATATTACGCACGCTTGGCAGGGATCTCACAGGTGGAAATAAGACCATCGGTAAAACTCATGACATCGATAGGGATTAATATTCCATATGGTATTACAGCGCGCGGTACTAGTATTGGCCTGTGTAAGAGGAGGATTCTGTTCTTAAGTCGTTTCAATTTAAACTAAAAATGTTTACTTTACAGGCCGCTTTTGCTTTTAAATGCTATTTTTGTATTGGCCAATGCAAAAGATCTTATTAGGCGGGGTGAAGCAAGCGGGTATTGGTTAGTCATACTTTTAGATCCGGCTGTAAATGCTAAAGATATGATGAAAATCTCTCCGTTTGACAAAAAAAAAAAATTTGCTTCGAGATTGCCTTGCAAAAATAGTTTAGACTCAGGGGTGTACGGCAAAATTTTTTTCTGGTACGGTCTAGTGTGTACGTATGTATTTATACATTTTATATTTGTGAGACGTGCACATTTATGTAAACAATCTCCATATCAACGCTAAAGTAATTATGTCAGCAAAAATGTTTTAAAATTCAAAATGTTGATGACTGCTAAGTAAAATTCGATTATCACTTTTGCTAGCATTTTTTTACCGCTATAAAACGTGTGCAAATTGATATTTAACACATAAATATATACATGCATACATATGTATGTATGCCGGAAGGAATGGGGTTGAGTAAAGGCACAGAGAGCTGCTACGGCAAAATAGAATATAGAATATAGAGAATAGCTGTTACGGCAAAATTCATCGAATAGAGGGGGAATACTCGTGGCTGTAGTATATGGTTAAGCTGTAGCTTAGGAACAAGCATTGCATTGATTTACAAAAAATTCTGATGAGAAAGTAATTTGCATTGGCAGCTGAACTGTTGGCAAGAAAAATCAATAAAACGACAATCAACTACACACACACACACATACATACATTTGTTTACAAACTTCATGCATGAAAAAGGCAAAAAAAAAAAGTTAGTTCTTCTACTGAAAATCGCAAAGGGAACCTCATAAATGTAATGGAAAAACACTTGTTTGTATGGTTGCATGTGGGTATGTATGTTTATAAGTACTTATGTATGTATGTCGTACATATATGCCGGCCGGCCGACTCTTATCGCGCACCTATGGGTCCCAAGTCGATTAAACTGTTTCAAGACATATACACTGCATATAGTACTGTCGCTTGTGTATCGATTAAGCTCAAGTGCCAATGCAAATGTATGCACTTAGAAAATTCTCAAACGTTTTTTTCACATCACTTGTTTTGCCAGCACTGAAGTCACTGATGGCTGCCACATGCACGTCAACATTGTTATTACGACGTTGTAAACATACCTATAAATGTATGCACATATGTACATGCGTATACATATATGTAACCAGATGTGTTTGTACCAAAGTGCAATTGTTTCTACATATGTATGTACCACATACATCTGCACAACCACTTGACTTGCTTGCGTTCTTACATTTTTACCTACATACTATATATGTAGCATGTATGCATGTATGTACATATGTATGTATGTACTTAAGTGTGCAAATGATTTATGGGTCACTCACCTCACATCCGGATGTGCATCCAACATGGCGCGCATCAGCGTCGTTCCTGATCTGGGAACACCGCCAATAAATATTAGTGGCATTTCGCGGCCATATGAATAAGTTTTTTGATCTTCGGCCATAAGATATTTCTAAAATAGAAGCAAAGATATAAGAAAGTAATTAAAAAGTCTACTACAAGTGAAGCTTATATAAAAATTTATTGGAAATAGCTATTTTTAACTGACTTCAAAATATGGAAGAAGGTTATCAATTCATCGGAATATATGTACAGTGGTCGAACAAATTATAGCCGCACCACATTTTGTATAGTTTTAACATGTCGTTTTCTTTTTTTTTTTGTTATTTGATTTTGGTTTGTACTTTTGTGCAATATTTGAAAACAATTCAACAAACTTTCGTAAAAATCTCAGGATTTTTTAATTAGATTTCCTAGCAAGATTTTGAGTACACAGTTTGACAGCTCATTGAATTCTAATAGAATAAAGTACTAGTTTCAAATGGGCTTTTATTGTTTCATCCGGTTCCATATGGAAGAAAACCATAACATCTTCGATAAGTTTATTTATTTTTAATAACTTTCATTTAAAATATAGTTCGACTTATAATAGAAACCACATATCGACTGCTAAGTGGAAGATCGACCTATCTCGGCTGCCAGTTCGAACTTATTATACTAAAATTTAATGGCATACTTCGAATGTTTCTAAGAAATCTAGTTAAAAAGCTTAACCTTTTGATTAAACTTCGTCGAATCTTGCTAATTTTTGTACAAAGTTTAAAATCTACACGGTTTTTGTTAGCTAATGAGCTACACTTTCATAAAAAAATAATAAACATTAAATAATCGAAAGCGAAACAGCCAAAGAATGCCAAAATATCTCTTCCCTATATATATTTTCGCCACTTTATGCACCACCGAAAGCGGGATATATAGTATACACCTTAATTAGCTCCGTTAGTTTTGTTTGCATCTGCAATTCAAATTTTCAACCACTCAACTAAAATACTTTAATTTTTTTAGACAAAATTTTATTATGCCTTTGTAGGCGAATAATAAAATGCAAGTTTGAAGCTGCTAAAAAACCCTAGAGTTTTGATTTTTTTTCGCTCTCGGTGTTGTGCAC